CAATACAATATTTTTAAGCAGTAGTCCCTAAGTATAATACTTTCGGCTGGTAGGTTATGAGGAAGCTTTTAAAGAGAAACGATTTCAACTGATTGATTTTTATTTTTTTGGGAATTCATCTCATGTACATTAAAAATACATTATGGATATGAACTACAGATACAAGCGTTTATTATATACTGTAGTAGGTAATATAATAGAGCTATGAGGATAGCACAAGAAGCCAGAAAATTTATTTAAATTGTGGTCCTCAAAGTTTAAATGCCTGATTAATTTGGTAAAGTATATATATACATATATATATATATATATATATATATATATATATATACAGTATATATAATCAACGACCTCACCAGCCAGGAATCGATTCCTGGCTGGTGAGGTTGTGGGGTTCAGGATGTTTGGTTCACACTCAGGATGGAATGGAGAAAGGAAACTCACAATGTGCTCTCTTTATTCACGTTGTATTGGATGTACAATGCAGCTTGGTGCTGGGAAGGCAGCATGGTTACAAGCGTGATGTAGAGAGAGCTGGTTGGTGAGGATGCTGTAGTGGACTTCTCCCCTACAACTGCGTAGCCGCAGCCACCACCTGCTACCATCTTCCCTAGCAACCAAACTAGCGGCCCAGGCGGCGGCGTCACCAGATGCCACAGTATCCTAGCAACGGAACCAAAGACCGGTTACTTCTCGGGTTTTCCCAACATGACTCATAGATGACTCACGGCTGCTGGGTATATAAGCTCTGTCTCTCCATTGAGATTCATTCTGGCCCATCTTCCTGAACACGCAACACCTACTCCAGCAAGCTCCTCGCTGTCCAGCCTTCATTCAACCAGGAGGCCAGCAACAGGCAACATCTTCTCTAACGAAGCTCCTGCACATCTACCTCCTTCAACACGCTACTCACCGAACGTGTCTACTGAGCAGCTCCTCACCACACGGCACCTCCAGCACCAGACTGTCTATCATATAACTTATATTATATAAGAAAACCACCTTAGAGTTTCCATCCATCCTGAGTGCTAGACAACATTATACCACGTAACCCTACAATGCTCAGAGAAGGACCAGCTTGTGGGTCGCCGTGCTCGCCGGCGGGAGCGAGGACCGCCAGGCAGGCGGAGGAGGAGGAGGTGTTGCTGGCTGGTTGGTGTATGTAGAAAGAGACAGGTCACCACGAGGTCAGGTCTTAAATAGCGGGGGGTAGGGCCGGCAGGCGTGGCTTAGTAGTTGACCCCCGCTCCGTGATGTATGGCGGCGCTGGTTGACCCAGACCACGAGGCATACACTGGGGAATTGGTGGGGTCGGCTACTCAGTGACAAACAGCGTTTGTAGGGGAGAAATCACTACAAGGTCGTTGATTATATGTTCAAAGTCCGCGTGTTATATGGACTTAAAATGAAGTGTGTATATATATATATATATATATATATATATATATATATATATATATATATATATATATATATATATATATATATATATATATATATATATATATATATATATATATATATGTGTGTGTGTGTGTGTGTGTGTAGCGGTAAATATATACTGTATGTACAGCTCTTGTAGGTACTAAAATGAGCAATTAGGTAGATATTTATTCATTGGTATTATTATACAAGTTAATAGTTGGCATAGTACATGAATATAGATACTGCAGGTATACAGGGGTGGGTAATACTCTAGAACACCTCTTGATATCAGTAACAACCATTTTCTAATGTTTCTCTGTGATGGGGGCGTATTTACTCAACAAAAAAACAGACAAATTGCAAATGAAATTTAAAGAAAGTTGGGATTAGTCCACCTGGTATTGCATATTCTAGACTAAAGAGGTAAGAAACAAGTTTTCTTCTATTGATTTTTATTTTAAGTTGGTGGTTTTTGAGGGACAGTCATAGAGCATTACCCCAGGTATACAATGTATGTACTATACATAGAGTAAGCCGGTATAAAATCTGTGTACCTAGACAATACAGGTATATATACAATCAATTTACCGAGGCAGTGCGGGTATACTAATCAATGACCTAACAAAACAAAAAGAAATCTATATCTTAACTAAATACTTTAGCTTAGCACCAGTCAAGCCTAAATTAGATAAATATTAATTTCCAAAATATTCTTTACCTTGGTTTTATCTGGTGTTATTTAAAGTAAATGTATCTAGTTAAAGTAGTCTCTCCATCGGTGGCTTTTGGCGTTACTTTGTGCTGGGGTACATTACGTCAACAAGTGTTAGGTCAGTCACGTCTTTAGTTATGAGGGAGATTTATTGTAGCAATCTTTGAGAACTCGACCATGGGCCACATCTTACACAATGAATACACATCAACATTCATCAACATTATATATACTGGTGATGCATCCCATAACCCTCCCCCCCCCCAATCACGCGCACACACACCGGTTTTAATAAGTAAATTTATTTGAAAATAAAATCAATTCAAGCATTTATCTACAATCTTGGCCATATTCCATTAAACACTGTGATACTGTGTACAGAATGTGGTTCAGATTGTACAGGTGGTGCTGGATGGTGTGCATGCAACTATATCTTGCGCTATTCAGGCCGCACCTCGATTATGCGGTTCAGTTCTGGTGCCCTTATTATAGAATGGATATCAATTCACTAGAGTCGGTGCAGTGAAGAATGACGAAAATGATTCCGGGACTTAGAAACCTTCCATATTAGGATTGGTTAAAGAAACTAAACTTGCATTCCCTAGAAAGACGAAGAGTGCAGGGAGATATGATAGAAGTATTTAAGTGGGTGAAAGGAATCAATAAAGGGGATATAGATAAAGTTCTTATAATATCCGAGCAGAATAGGACTCGTAGCAACGGATTTAAGTTGGATAAGTTTAGGTTTAGGAGGGAGATAGGAAGGAACTGGTTCACAAATAGGGTAGTGGACGAGTGGAACAAGCTTAGCAACTTTGTAGTAAGTGCTGGAATGCTGGAAAGTTTCAAAAGGAGGCTAGATAGATTCATGGATGATAGAGAGTGGTAGTAACTCTCGACAGGAGCTGCCATGCACAGGCCAACCGGCCTATTGCAGACTCCTTATTTTTCTTATGCTCTTATGTGTGTGCCGCAGGTGGTGCAGGAAGATTTATCTAGCGTATTGAGCCGCCATGGTCGCTGCCACCTCTTCCTCCTTGATCGGGAAGGGTAAGGTGCCACCGCCGCCGTCTGTAATAAAATAAAACAAAACAAAACAGTGTAAGTGGCATGTCACACATCTGGCCTCCTGACACACTTAACTGGCTGCTTGGTACACCCATTTCGCCACCTAATACACATCAACTGGCCTACTGGTACACACCATTTGGCCTACTGCTACACCTACCTGGCCACCTCGCCAACTATGGGTTTCCGAGCTGCTATTTGGTGTTATTCTGAAGAAATTAATTAAACCCCTTAAATTCCAAGTCCGAGAGAAAAATATATCCAACTGGGTTGTACAGGGGCATACAAAATATAATTTGGCATAACCTTTTTAATTAAACTTGAGTGCTAGCTGAAGATTATTGCTTTCCCAAGGATCAAAAGGTCAATTATTGTTGTCTTCTGTATTCATGGAAGGTCTGTAAGATTTACCAATCAGGGGTGTTATTGATATGGTTGCCACTGAAAGTGTTTATGTACTTCCATCACTGGTACTCATAGGCAGGTGCATGTAGAAATCGTACTAATGGTTTCATTGTCTAATATACAGGTTTTATAGAGGTGCGCACAGCAGTTGACAGCAGGGGGAGAGGGGAGGGATATTGCTCCCTTGTTCAATGGAACTAAGACATAAGCAAATATTAATAGAGTTGAAGGATTGTGCATACAGTATTTATATACAATCATTTCATGGTGATTGGTCACCACTGCATAATAAACAAGTGGGTGATGATAAATGTGTTAACCTCAGTAGCTAATGAAGACTCATTAAACTTTGACCTTTATATCATCTCTGTCTCAAATCCTCCTTTTTGGTCATTTTATCTTTCATTACTTTGCAAAATTTATTTAATATGGTTCCAATTCAATACCAAGAATTTTATTGGTTATAGAATGGAAGCTGCTTTCAGGGGAGGGAATATTGGATTAAGTACTGTACAGTACAGTACTGTAATTGGGTTAGCTAAGTATATTCTTTTTTTTACTAAATTAACCTCACATCAAGTATTATTATGGAGAGACCCCTTGTTCTGGGGCTGGGGTCAGTAAGATGACATCCCTAACTGTACTGTATTTGTAATATTTCAAGTTCTTGTATACCTATGGTGTTTGGCCTGAAAAAATTAATTAAATATGAATTTTGATGGGTAAGTCAAATTACACTGTTTCCTTATTGGTACAGCAGCTAATACTGTACAGTTAATACTACCTCTTCATGTGTTTGTAAATAGTTTTGTTGGGAGGTATAGGTGGGACATTGTAGTATGTAGGCCAAGTTTTGTGCTGTGGTGTTTTTGTCTTGATGGGGGCGGACTCATCATGAAATTGCAGAGGTGACTGAGGTGTTGTGCTGAAGCAATGAACTGTGTTCATATAATGTCAAGGTGATATTGTGTGGGGGAGAATTCTTGATTTAGAATGTTGGTGGCAAATATTTATGGCTTTAGTGCAACCTGTTTATTGCTCTGAAGGCTTTGCTTTTGTCTTGGGATTCCTGGAGGTCAGAGGATAATATAGCTGGTACCCTGGGAGTGCTAGCACAGATTTATGTGGGATATATGAATTATTTATACTGTACAGAATACTGTTGGTACAGTAGTGAGTCTTTTGGTTGTCCAAAAGCAGTGGGGTTTTTTTTTTTTAAATGCACCGAGTTTGCATTTGGCTCTAACATTATGTTATTTGTGTGTCGTGAAAAGAATTTGTAAGCAGTTTTTAATTTACCATTTTTTTATTGTATGCATGTACAGTATTGTTGAAGTATGTTGGTGGCCTGATGACAGTTTGTATGTCCTTGTAAACAAATCCTCACTTCTCTCTTCAAAATGTTTTAATTTACTCATACAAGTATTATACCCCAGTATTCATAATGATCTCTGTTGGCTTTACCCAATGTACAGTTCAGCTGTCCTGTACTGCATTTTGAGCTGACGTCCTGTCCAATAGGTCTATTATAATGCTCAGTGCAAAGTGATGAATGCCATGTGACATGAAACTTAAGCAAGTACAGTAAAGAGGAAGAAATAATTATCTTAAGTATGTTTATTTTCACTCACAATATTTTTAAACTGCAAAAATAATGTTATTCTTATAATCTATCCCCTGATATGCTTGTTACATGTCAAACTATCTTCTTAAAAGTCACTCTTGTAAAATACTGTATTAATCATTACATTAGAATTACACTATAAGTACAATACAGTATGATTCTAATAAATGAATATATTTTATAGATTACATTTTTTATTAATTCTTACTGAAAAAATTCACAATCTTTAACAAAATTACAATGAACTGTCACTAAATCAAAAGATGCCTTTCCCGTTTTTATAAAAAGAGTGCTGCTGCATGTACTGTAGTTTCACATATTATGACACAAAATGAAATAACTGACTTGTGGTAGTACTTCATACTGACTAGCATATGTACAGTAATCAAAAGACTTACTTAAGATAACAGTCAATCTTCATCTTAAATTTACTCGGTATAAATCATGTACTGTACATAATTAGTGCCATAATAATTGCAAGATACAAAAATTTTAACATAATCTTACAATAGGTATTCAACCCTATCTTACTGTACTTTTTCCTTTAATTATACAATAGTTTGTTATTGCAACTGGAAAATTCTTCGGTAATTTGTAGAAGTAAGACACAGAGGTACAGTACAATAGTTACACTTTTTTTTTCACTGCAATACAAACTGTACTTAGAAAAATTATCAGAAAATATCCTCCCAGTGCCATGTAAAGTTACATACAAAAGTTCCATTACACACCTGTTAGAAGCTCAGTACTGGACCAGAGAGCAAGCAGATTCCAGCAATTCAGTTTAAGCATATAACAGGACTTTTGTCCATAATGTCCCATTAATAAAGTTAAGTGTTAAAGGATATCAGGAAAGGTAGTACCTCATCACCTTTATACATTTCACTTGGCAAATGTTAGTCTTTGGCTTCATATTTTCTTATCATCAGTCAACAGCATCTTTGCATACTACAGTGCCTTTATGTTGTACAAAGACACTTTTGGAAACCTCAACCAAGATATTTTTTCACTCTTTCCAGCCTTTTCCTGCACAGAACAGGGTGACCAGTATCAAGAGCAAACACACAACCATTCATTCACTCTCATTTGTTATAACATACAAATTTGTTCTGCTATGGCATTCCTTTCTACTGGCCTGAAATATCAGTCTGGCACATTCCAGACATCTCTATACAGTACCAGGAAAAAGCTTTTAGAATATAAACTAAACTATACATTCATCAATAAAATCCATTAACTAATTATAATGCCCCATTGTTATTCACACAATTATAGTCTGTTTTTTTTAGCTGACGGTATGAGACTAAAGAAGCCCCCCACCCCCTTGCAGCTCATTGGCTCATACATAATGTTTGATTAATATTGCTATACCACAAATTAATCCATATACGTCCAGGATAACTGTTAAGGATACCCAGTTCTGACTCACTTTAACAGTGAATTTAATGTATGTAAAGATATAACTGCTTTAAAACATTAACTTTTGAGAAAGGAGTGGAAAAAATTTAAAGTAAAGAATATTTAGTGTCCAAGTCACAAACAAATTCATGCTTCCGGAGAACACATTCTCCTCTAATTTTTTCTCTTTTCACTAAACATTATGTACAATATGTCAAGACAAATGGCATAAAGCAACAGATAATAATGACCATTTTATAAAGAGTAAAATCAAGTGTAAACACCACATTCACGTAACATTACGAGGAGGTAGTGCGCTTATCGGAAGAGCCGCTCAGCTGAGCCGACAGATCTTTTATAGTACAGTACTCTATTTACCCCAAACATAACTGTCACTTTCATTTACATCACTCCTACGCTCTCCTCACCTTTTGACCCAAGTGGCCTTCTACATTAATATCTCTGTTAGCCAGAACTCTCCAATACCCGGAATTAAAATTTGCTCAGAAATTTTCTGCAAAAATTCTCTCAATTCTGAGTCTGTGAACAAGTTTCCGACGTTGAAAATCAGGCGCATTTTCAGAGAAACTTAGAAACTTTTCCCAGTACCCCCAAAATTCCAGGGATGTGGGATTTTTCCGGGTTTGAGTCGCCTTGTTATCCGGAAATCTCTCATCCCTGGAAGAGCTATGAATCAATTATTCTGGCTTACGGGGATATCACTGTATTTACAACCACGCTCTTCAACCAGTCAGCTGGAACAATACTGTACATTCCATCGTAATTATTTTTGTAACTACTGTATTCCAGAGGTACCAGCAGCCTTTCCATTTTTCATATGTTAATCAATTTCTTCACCCATCCTGTCTTTTACAACACCTTGGAACTGTAAATTTTAATTACTGCAAAAGAACTACAGTAACCTTAAAGTTAATGAAAAGTACTTCTGAATGGTATTAGACACAGTACTGTTAACTGTTTACTAAACATAAATACAGTACCTACAAGATTGTTCTTTTTTTCCTTTCAGACATTTACTTTATTTGTGTTGTTTGGGTTGGCACCATCACATTATTTAGCACACTTTACTCAAATATTAACAGTATAGTTTCTAGTAGTATGTGGTAATCCAAGGATAATATCTATAATAAATTGCATTGGATAAAAACTTAAATGCGGTTTGCTCATATAAGATACAAGAAATATTTTGAAGTGTTTTGAACATTTATATTGTGCCTTTGTTAAGATAAGTTTTGCAACCAAAACACGAGATAATATTCGGCCTACTGTATGTTTGGAAAGCAGGAAACGATTTATGTTTCATAAAACAAGACAAAAACAACAAAAGCTCCAGGTAATGCCTTCTACCACTGCAGTTCTTCAAACAACTGTTACACACATTATATTACTTTTTCTTTATGAACATAATAAATACTCTTTACATATATAACAACAAAGTTTTATGGGATCATCTAAACAAGTAACAAGCTAGCGTGTCTAAGAAAATACACATTAAAATATACCCAGATGTACAGTATATACAGTAATTTACAGTCTGCAAGCTTAAATATACAGTAGATGGAAGTAAAAATATTGAAAGGGCAGAGTGATTTAGTGAGGCTACATGTAAGAAGCTCTCTAAGGTTAGGGGATCTGGGGTCATAATTCCCTCAAGTAATTTCCATCTAGATTTCTGATATACCTTTATACAAGACTTCTTATATTTTTAGAAAATACAAATGCATTAAAGCTAATGCAAATATAAATGCCTTAAAAGTCATTATTTACAAAAAAAAATAATAAAAGGACCCAGATATTAAACCACATGCAAGTATTGTGCTGGAAAGTGTGCATTCATAAAAAGAATTAAATTTTGTGATTTGCAGTGAATTTCTATTACGTACTTGGTACAATTGCTAATGGAGAATAAAGTAACTCAATGAAACTGTATGTGTAGAATACATTCTAAGTGGGGGATGGACAAGGGAGGATCAAAGCCCAATAATGCATTTACCTTATTCTTGCCTTATACAGCCAGCATAATTTTAATAACACTAAACTATTCCTAATACTTTTTTTTACTCTTCTTATATTGCACGTCTTAAACCAAATTAAGAACACACATCAGTTTATTTTAAGTCTAAGCATGAACACCAAGCCATGATGTAAAATGAGACCTTTCATAAATTGTGGTCTCTTCAAAAGTCATACAAGGGTCATTGCTCAAATGCCATTCCATCCAAAATCTTACTTAGAAGAATTTTCCTATTCACAGTTTTGTCAAAAGTATTTTCATAAGAAAGTATTAATCTTTGTTTGGTACTATACTGACACATGATGTCCGTCTTCTTGATTCTTTACTAGCTCCTTGTCCCACAATTCCTTCTTTCTGCTCTTCATTCCTATTTTCTATCACACACCCACACATGCACAATCGCAAAAACACACACACACACACCAGCTGCACTTTCCAGGACAGCACTTTTGATCTACTCTCAGTTCTCTTTAACTCTTCTTACTTCATTTCCATTTACACGGGACAACTTTTGCTCAATCATTACTCCAAATATTCAAGCCACATTGTCTTTCCTGAATAATTAAACTGTAAAGTCCATCATTAACAGTTTATATCTAATACCATATGCAACAGTCAAGTTCATGCCCTATAGCAAGCCAATGAATAGGGTGCCCCCAATCAAACCCAGAAGAAAATGGGTACCAAGCTTTACAATTGGAGAAGAGAAAAGTGGTTAGAAACAGTACTGATCACACTGCCTCCTTATTTACCACAACTTAGTGCCTAACATGGTTCATGGAAGTTCACTTTAAACATTACTGTATGAAATATTTTTGGAACTAATGAAGAAACTCTTCAGTTACTGATAAAAGAGATAACTGTTTGAAAGGACACCAGTTGCTGAAGATTATTAAAGAGAACATCTGAAAATATTTTAACATTATCTTAAAACTAAAATTGTATAAAAAAATTACAATATCATAAGATACATCAAGTCACATGTAGTGTAGAATATGGTTTGCTACTGGATAAGCTTACATAATGTTTGATAAATTTGAAACTTTAACACTAGAAGGCTCTACACCAGAATCCCATGGCTAATTCCCTTTCATGCTGTTAATACAGTACTTTATTCTTTCTACAATTAATGGTGCAAATAGTTAGGCGTTAGCAGTCTGTGTGTTGCGGAGTCCAGTTATTCCCCTAAACCAATTCCGAAGCTCTACAGAGGTGACAGTGAGGTAGTTTGCATCTTCATCAACACTCTCACCAACACCACCACCAGTCCCTTCAGCAAGCAATGGACGAGAATCAAGTCCCTTACGTGGTTTGCCACCAGCCTTCTTCTTCTTGCGATTAATTACACCATCAGCTTCATCCATCATCTTCACAATCTATGAGGAAAGGAAAGTGTATTAGGAACCATTGATCCATTTTGTTTTTTGTTTTTTCAACACATCCCACTGCCTTTGTTACTGAGTAGCCTATATTCAAACATGGATGGGTATAGTGTAAACAGAGCATTATACATGGAGTTCTGACTTGTGCATCTCAATCAAAAAGTGGATTAGGTGCAGTCACTGAACATTTTTCCACAAAAAAATTATGAATTTTTCTTGTATAAAAAAAAAAATACTGTATTGTTTTGGACTCCCACATTGCCATATCAAAAACCGAACACTACAGTATTAGAAGTTCCATGTTTTTTTTTCTTTTTCGCTCTTGCCTGATATTTATATCTTGGTAGAAATACATTTTTCTTGTTAAAACATTTTACAAATAATAAGATTCTTCAAGCACTGTTTCTACTTTCTTCTTATACTGTATATAAAAACATTCAAGTAATTAAAGAATATCTACAGACAGGGATATCCCAAAATTTTAAGGAAATATTTTATTAACTTCACTACACCATGTACTGTACAGTATATACAGCACAATCTTAAAAATAAAATAATTTAAAAAATAACCAATAGATATGAGACAGAGTTATCATAATTAACAGTGTGTGGTCCACTCACCTGTGCCTGGTCTGAGGCGTCCATAGGAATCACTGAAATATCTCGTACAGCTCTGAATTTACCACAGTTGTTTATGTGTTCATTCTCTAGACGGAAGAAGTTCCATATGAAACGCCTGAAACAAAATGTTACTACTGTACATAACATACAGTCCACTTGATGAAAATAGTAATTATATAATGCAAAAACATATTCACTCTTTTTGAGCAATGTTTCATTATTTTTGCTTGTTACTAAACTATCAGTACAGTGTTTTATGATAAAAGTTTAATTTTTCCATATAAACATCATTCTTGACACAAAAAGGTTAAAGAAGGTCAATGACATTATGATCTTCACTTTATATATACAATACTTAAGATGCTGTTTGCCTTAACAAGTTCATCACATGTTCATACTACAGCAAGTCCTCGCTTAATGTTGTTTCGGTACTATGTCGCTAAACTTTAGAGACCAAATATTCATTTAACGTCTCGGTGATCCGATACTACGTCGTTTTGCGTCGTCACGGACTACTTTCTACGTCGCATCACCCGCTTTCGTCTGGCCACGCTATGCTCTCTTGGCTCGTCGCAGTCTCAATGACTCACCACCCTCCTCCTCTCCCGCCCCCCTCCGCTCCCGCCATACTCCTCCCCTCCCGCCTCCTCCACTCCACTACCCACCACACACTCGCTCTACCACCTCCGCCCATCGGTGATTCCCAATACAAACTTAGTAGTTGTATATGTATGCAAGATTTTCTATAGAAATGGCAATGATTTTCTGTATATGTAATGTATTTCATGGGGCAAAGGGAGGCTCAGGAACGTAACTCCCGTATTTTATCTATATCTTATTGGGAAAATTGATCCGCTTAACGTTGTTTCGTATAACGTACTGTACTGTTCTGTACTGTACTGTACTGCACTGCACTGCACCGCATTGTACTGTAGTGAACTGTACCACCAAATTCCTCAGTTGCTAATAATTTCTCTTTACATCTGTGTCTTTACACATAGATGCCACTCGTCTTGACTAGATGCAGTACTGTACTGTACTATGAATCTTTATAATTATTTTCTCATATTGGCTACATTTAAATGTTACTTTCAATACATATGTGCAATATTCCAGAGCATAATTACTCACAGTTGAATGCAAAGAAGGGAAGAATGTACAACTATCAAATATACAGTACAGAGGGTATATATATTTTTTTTACATAAACTTCTATGGTGTTAACTAACTTTTTATTTCTTCCACTGCTATATCTAACTTTTAAATTTTTTTATGACTTTTTTTTTATAATTTCCTGACAGTTCTCTAATATGACAGACCAATTTCACTCTCACTGATATTTCCCAGACTTCACTGGCCAGTGCCAACCCTGTTACATCATATTTGTACTCTCTCAGAATACTTGCAGTTCAAGACATTCAACATTTTACCAAATTCTTAAAATAGGTTTACCTGAAAACTTCTAGAGGAGCAAGTATGGAGACAATAATTTCACCATTGGTAATCCTGAGTTCTGTCAGTGTGAGGGAGAAGGACCAGCTGAATCTTAGTATGAAGTCTTCCACAATGCCAAAGTAGTAATAATACTGAAAAAAATTTAGGTAAGTACAGTTATTACTTATTCATGAAAGCTTAATGAATAAACCATATTTATTATACTGTATATATATATATATATATATATATATATATATATATATATATATATATATATATATATATATATATATATATATATATATATATATATATATATATATATATATATATATATATATATATATATATATATATATATATATATATATATATATATATATATATATATATATATATATATATATATATATATATATATATATATAAACCATAAGTTCTACTCTCAGTACTGTACATACTTAGAATATAACCTGAGTACTGTACTGTATTGTGGTAAAGGTCATGAATTTATCAAGCCTATTGTGAGCGAGGTGTTTGTCATGTGCATGCAAATACAGGTAGCTGCCGATATACAAAGTATCAGTTTACGAAAATTTTCAGTTACAAAAACAAAATTCTGACCCATGTTTTGATTTAAGAACAAAAACCCCAAAGCTGAAGAAAAAGTACCATAATTGTTTTCATAATTATTTCCCAAGTAAGAGAAACAAGGAATAATATCCCTGGAGATGGCACGTAATTGTGTAGCGGAGTCGCCAACTGGCCGACTCATCACTCAGTAACACTCGTAGCAGGTGAGGCCGGGCTATGTTTTGGTCAACTCGCAATTTCGGGTAGATATACAAAATTTTCTTCATTTTATTTTACTCTGTTACATACACACACACACAATCTTTTATACATAATGTGCAAAAAAAAATACAAATTATGATAAGGTCAAAAACATATAGGGAATAAACAGTTCTTACATGGTCGGCAGTTAGCCTACAGTGTGTGCAGGGTGGGGGGGGGGGATTTTTCTTTTATTTACTATTATTTGTTATTTATTTATCACATTTGCTGGTACAGTATACAGTTCATCCAGGCAGTCACCAAGCTGACTCAAGAGACATCTGTGGTTGCTGCCTGTATGCTGTGACATCACATAAGGAAGAGGGAGAGTATGGCTGGCCACAGTCACTGCCTCAATGCAGACCTTCACATCCCACACATAAACACCCATGCTCTTCATTGTAAAGCCTTATAGTAAGCTGTAACCCGTATACTATAAAACTGTACAGTACACTATCTTCTTTATTTCTAAGCCACAGTACAGTATTGTAAAGATGCACACTTGGAGCACAGAATCCCCAGTTTTTCCGACTTCCCTCCCAATTTTTCCCAGTGAGTCAAAGATTGCTAAACCAAAAATTGTAAATCAATAAACAACAAACGGTGTTAAAAGTTTTAAATCACTAAACCAAAATACCGCTAAGTAAATGATTGCTAAATGGCAGATACCTGTATAGGCACACATGGGATTACCCAAAAATTTGCTATTTACTTCATGGTGGCCATACTGTAAATTTGGACAGACCTGGTTCCAGTTTGAGTGGATCTAGGCCATTAGATTATGCTCAGCTATGAGGGCCACAAAGACAGTAATGATAATACCATAGGCAGGGTGCACACTTGAGATTTTCCTCCTTAAATAACTCAGAAATCATAGACAACTTACCGGTGATGAGTATACAAGCTCCTCACGCAGGAACTTGTATTCACCAGAGTTCTTTTCAAAAAGACCCCAATCCATGACCATGTCCCACCAGAACACAAAGCATGAGCTGAAAAGCATCGATCCCACCCACATGTAGAAGAATGGGTTGTTGATGCTATCATCATACTGGTCTGAAAATGTACATGATGATGTCTCAAGGACATGACAAAAGATTGTTCACATTTAATTTTATATCATCTGCACATATTTCTATCCAATACTGTAATAACCTTTGAAAGACAAACTAATATTGGACCATACATAGTCATATCCATTAAGGGTACAGCAAACTTAATCATTAAGAAGTAAGGAAGTAGAGAAAAAATGAGAGGATGCTAACTCATCTAAAATGCAGGATTCCTGCAATGCAAATGTTTAATACAAAGTACAGTAAGTACAGTACTGCAATTTCTTTTAATAATTTTCATTCCTTAATACTAAATAGAGCAATGATTTAGTTGCCGTTCCCTGTGAACATATAATTTACTGAATAAGAGGAATGAACACCTCATGATAAGAGAAGCATGATTTTTACAGATGAAAAATTGGTCCAATTAAGTGAGAAAAAAAATTAAATAATAATATATGGTATTTACTCTCAAAAAGTTAATGACAGTACAAACCAAACTCCTGTTCAATCTATAATGTGGGAGTAATTTCTGGTTGGTGGGTAGATAAGTTACTAAGTCAATGCAAAATAATACTGCATAAAACTGTGGCAAAATTTTGCTAATTATTTTCCTACCAAAGCCTCTAAAATGCAAGAGAATGTGTGTGACAAGTTGTTGTTGCTTTTTTCAAGAGCAAGTTTCTGAGCGAAACTCACCTTCCTATTGAATTGACATACCCAACAATACAGTACAGTAAGTCCGTACTTAACGTTGTTTCGTATAACGTCGCGTTTTTAGGAACGTAACCCAGACGTTAAGTGAGGACTTAGTGTACACAAAAGTTGAGAGGTACAGGGTGGATCAGAATAGTTTCTGCTAAGGCCAAGAGTGCAAGTATGTAGCTAGTGAAGACCAAAATACTTGACACACCTTCATTAGTTATTTAATCTGATGGGATGAGAAGTACAAATGGTGGTTTATGGAGGGGGTGGAAGAGAAACAAATACTATACAGAAAAAAAAATCTGATTAATTTTCAAAATATTGTACAGTACTCCATTGGTGAAAGACTTAAAGACTTACCTTTGTACACATGTCTTAGGCAGGAGAAAGTTACCACAAAAAATGTAGTGGCATACTTGAATGCATTGACCAAGTGAGGAAACATTTCCCGCGTGTCTCGATAACGACGGAGACACTGGGCGAAGCGCCACCAAGCAGGAAGACAGGCAACGATATTCCTGACCACTTGTGTCTTGTCAATACACACATCATCATTCACTGTGGAAAAATTTGAATAAATTTTAGGGTTATGAGTACAATGTATGGAGCTTTTAATACAAATCCTAATAGTAACATAAAAAACAGTTTGCTTCATGTTTCTACATGAGGGCCATCATTTCTAATCAGAGTTATCTGCATCATGGTACAATATCAACATACTGTCCCAATATGGCAGGCCACAGAGAATAACCCAAATTAATGTCTACAGACAAACCCACAAACAGCAGGACATCATATGCATTGTCATTATATTCACAGTATATATATATATATATATATATATATATATATATATATATATATATATATATATATATATATATATATATATATATATATATATAAAACAAATACAGTATAGCAGAAAGCTATGGCAAAATTTTTAAGGATACAGTCAACCCTCGCTTTACGCGGTCCCACTTTACGCGTTTCCACGTTTACGCGGTACCCTGCCGAAACCAGAATGCTCACTTTCCGCGGTGTGTGTACCCTTTTACGCGGAGAGCAGCGCGAGCAGGGTGCGCACAAGGTCGCCCAGTCATCAAAACATTACCGAGTTCTTCACCCGCCACCCACCACAGCCGGCCCAAGTCAGTGATAGTGATAATTATAGTGAGGATATGGACTTATATGGACTTTGAGGGGTTTGACAAAGAGGCCCTGCAAGCCTCTGTGGTGGATAGTGATACAATTGATACAAATGATACAGGTGAGGGCCAATAATCTGCCCTCTGCCTCGGAACCAACCCCCCATCCCCGTGTGCCCGGCCATCTTTTCTACTAATGTAAGTGTTAAAAAACCTAATATTATTGATATTTCTCTTAATTATTAATTGTGTGTGCATACCATCATAAAATTAAGAAGTTATTTTTACTACAACGTAGGTATTGTGTCTGAAAAAGTGGAGTTTGGGGGTCGGCCCGGTCTCTATTTCAATTAATCCCATATGTTATGTTGTTCACTTTACGTGTTTCTCAATTTACGTGGGCCGCCGTGGGTTGAATTAACCGCGTAAAGTGAGGGTTCACTGTACTGTATTTATGGCCACTGTACTTACCATCGTTGCTTGAGTACCAGTTGATTCCTTGTGTATAGAAGCAAAGAGAATATTCAAAGTCTTTCAGTACCTGGACCAGGGTATTTAATTGATCACCAAGCCAGAAATCAGCAAACTGCACAAAGCAGAATGGTGCGCACACTACTCGTCCCTGGAAAAGAAAGATACACGTAAATAACTTTTCAAAACAAAGAGGATGAGGTGAAGGACTTTCTCAACCTAGAAAGTTTTTGGGACTGAGCAACAAAAAGATCAGAATTTCTACAGGAGCAAATAATTATTACCAAATTCCTTCTCATGACAGATGATTCCACTAACACAAAATAAATGAAGAACTGCATACCAGTCTTTGCAATTCATTCATCACATAACTGATCTGTTTTTCATTTTCTTTGACTATTTCTTCCCATAGTTTTGTATGTCTGCATGTCAGTGTTGAAGACAAGATTCAGAACTTTACACAAAAGTACTCAGATTTCTCCAGATACTGTATATGACATTCTTTATTTTACAATGGCTTCTTTAATACAGTAGTGCCATTATTTTTTTTTTGTCTGACTGCAAAGTATAGAATAATATCCACCTAAATTATAAATAAAAAAAAAAGAGAGAGAAAAATCAAGGTTTCACTACTAAGATGCATATTAATTAAACAATTGTTTCTAGTTATTAAAATAAAATGTTTCCACTACAATCTTGCATAACATTTTTCCATGATTTATTCACTTACCTGTAATATGTATTCACAATACTCAAAGAAAAAACACACGCAATCAACAACAGTATTCATAAACTTAAGAGCTTACCAGTTTTTTGAGCAGCCAGAACCGAGCCTCATGATGAAATGTCCGTGTGGGGTTGAGAAGAAACAAGATCATGAAGCAGAGGAGAGCAAGTGGAACTGTGTATGAAGGGATGGAGAGGGCATCTGCATATAGAAACCCTAATACACTGAGGGCCCAAATAACACCTGCAATAGACAAAAAGGTAAATTGTTTAACACATAATACCTTTCTACATGCCAAATAGACCGAGTCACTTCCTGTGTATTAAAATCAAGACCAATATCTCCATTAGTGACAAGTCTGGGAGTGGAATATACCCCCACCATCACTGAGGACAAAGCTGTAAGCAATAAACACCAACCTAGGTGTTGTCCCTGTCACATTTGGAGGGTTATACCTAAGATTGTGAAAAATTTGCTGAATGTACTAAGAACTCTAAAATATTATTGGGACACACTATTGTTAATTTTCTTATCATTTAGAGTGAATGCATCTATTTTTCTGTGTGTTCATATGGGAAAATTTAAGTCTACCACTTATATTTGAAACTATCTCCATATTTACACACCAGCAGTCCATTTTATTGGGTTTGAAGATTACGCCATTACTTAACCTAAATTTCACTTTACACATGTAGGCTTCCCCTACTTCTTTCTTCTTACTCAAGAAATATAAAAAATCAACAATTCTTCCACTATTCTATTAAGCGTACAAATTCACCTTTCTCAACCCAACTTTCAAAAAATGTTTCTCATACATTTTTTCTTCTTCACTTATTCTCAAGATATCCACCTGATCTGCTAAGAGATGTATATTTCTCTTCTAAACTTTAGGGTCAACTATATTAAAATTGGTGGTGACACTTAAACACCTGTGAGCTACAGTAATACAATTCCATCACAACTTCCCTAATAATCTCTGCTACAAGGCTACTTTTCAACATTGTTAGATGTACATCCACCAAAAAAAGTCTTGTCAGTGGTCCGACCAACCTGTGAACCATGAGACTCATGAACCTGTGAATCCTAGACATCATACATTATTGGGTCCATTGATGGCACACTATGTAATGTCTCGGAATCACAGGTTCATGAGTCTCAGGGTTCACGGATGTACAGTACAGTATATCAGCTTCCCTTTCAGCACTTATTTACACTAAGACTGTTTCCTGTCATAACACTGACTGGAAACCTCTTGACGACCTAAGAGGAAATAGGAAAACAAGGAAAAGCAGCAAACAACAATAATGCAATTAGTACAGTAAAGTATAATGAAAATGACTTATAATGTGAATACTGTATACAAGAAACTAACAAAAGGAAAAAAAATTATCTTCTTGTATTATTCTACCTGCCATAAGATTTCCTCAATTGACCTAGAATCTCAATACAAATTACCATTATCATATTTATACAGTACTGTGGCAAAATTACTCGATCCAATTTATATGTATATACCACTCTTCTTAGTTCCTTCTATTCTTTTACACAAATAAAAAATATAAAGAAAAGAAAAACCAAAGTCACTCTGTTACAATTATTACATTCACTACAGCTACAATATGCAACAACTCAATGCAAGTGTAAACAAAATACAAATATCTTACCAAAAATTGCTGCAATCTCTATAAGATGCTGTTCTGTTAAGTGATTCCTTGGGTCTATTTCAAAAATAAGAACATGATTAACTCCAGATGATCTCCAACCATAGATGTTGATGCCAATTAGGAAGAGGAAGAGGATGAACAACAGTGGAGCTCTAAAGAGCCTTAGAACAATTTGTAAATTGTGATTACCCCATTGGAAGATACCTGAAAAATAAATTGATAATTAATGTATGGAAACACAAATTCATTGGCAGAGGAAACCTCAAAGACGGTTTCTCTCATACACAGTGCTTACAGATTATTATTTTTAATCTGTAATATTCTTACAAACAAGTAGTTATGTTATGACACAACTTTTTCTTTAACACAGGCTATTGTAACCATAACAGATGACTTACTAACATGATGAGAATGAACTACAGTGTAGCTATTTTCAATGAAAAAATAAAAGAAAAGAAAAAACAGAAGGGAACTAGGCAGACTCCAAGGTATGTACTCCTACTACCAAATTATCCTGCAATGTGACCCAGCCTCAAAGCTTCAACCAAGAGCAGCCACCTTACAGAACAGAATTCAGCAGAAGGGAGATGAATATTACCCATCATCCCAAGACCTGCTTATGCAAGGTGTTCACATTTTTTTTCACCTGCTACAGTAACTATGATGAATACAGTACTTCATACATCAGAAAGGCAGCATGTTAGGGAGATGATGTGAAGACAATGAACAAAAAAGAAAAACTGGGAATCCACAAGGTCCCTCAAAAATATAAATAATAATAATAATAATCTCAAACCAAAAGACATGCTTAATCTAAAGGGGCTAATAGAACATCCTGTGAGGTGAAGCAATGAGCAAAAATATTGATAGCAATAGGTCAATATTTTTTAAGGTGAAACAGATACATTTCCTTAATAACAGTAAAACAGGCAGGTAGGTGAGAAACTTCTTCATACTTTAGATGGAGAACTCAGGAACATAGATAATGTGAGGAGTGACAAAGGTAAAACACACAGTATGAGAGGGGAACTGGTTGATATTATGGGGCATGTACTGCCATGGTCAATTCAGATCCCACTGCCAGCCACAATGTGAAGCCAAGACACCTGAGGTACAAACTACGAAGCCCCACAAGGAAGAACACCGTGTATATGAGGAAAATATATCATGAACTTTTGAAATGTGTTGTGTTTTATCTTATAAATATTATCAAATACCTGTACTGTAAATACAGAATTACTTCTTGGAGAGCCACAGAGCCTAAGACAACCTCTAAAAATTAATCTTGCTATACAAAGGTACCGGTAAGCACAAAAGTGTAATGGATAAAAATTTTATGTAAAGAATGAGACACTATTCATGAATTACATAAGTTGATAGTAACTTTGTTTTGATCAATACTTTTAAAGACCCACATAAATAACTTTAACCACTAAAATAATTTATACTTTTAAATTAACAAAATTCTTGCCATAGCTCACCTGAAAGAATAACCGATACTACTAGGACAATAAATGCTCCCGAAAATAGCCCAACTTTAAATGTGGTCCAGGGGCTTTGTGCTTCACCTAGAGGAGGTACACGTAATCTCTTCATGGCCCTCTGACGATCACCTTGCTCCAATTCTGACGTAAATGTACCTTCAACCTGCAGAGAAGTTGTATTAACAATGAAAACTGTCTTGTTAATTTCTTAAAAATTTAATCCAAACTATAAATTATTTTCCAAACATTGGGGTTGTTCCACAAAACGACATGCATTCCTTTATAATCAAGCATGTCACATATTAATTCCAAAAGTTCCATGTAGCTTTGGCCTCACTTTAAACTTAATGCCAATCCACATCCTAAGAGACAAATTTCTCTTGGGGCAGACTGATTTGGTCACCAAAGTTAGTCAATCTACAGTTTAGTGATCAGTTCTTTTAAATAACCTGTTTATTCACATTCACTCTGGAGTATTATTAAATATCTGCCACCTTCAATGTTCTTCATTTATTCTCAAACATAATTACTTACCTTTTCTTTGCTTTCATATTACACATCCTTCACTTATTGTTGTTCACATAACCAACAGGACTGTTACTGTCTAATAACAGTATCCAATTATCTCATAACCACAACTTAATTTTTTCACAAACTATATCTAACGAGCATCACAAACATCGACACTCTGGAAACCTTACCTCTTGAATGAGCTTGTCAATGTCCTTGTTAGTGTTGAACGTAGAGGAATCAACATTATCCTCACGCCACTTAGCTCCATCTGATGTGGTCATGAGCTAAAAGAAGATTTACACTTGGTGAACATATCTAAGACACTATTTTAGGTATAAACTATAGTTGCATTTCCATAAAACAGTGCTAAATGCAGTACAGCAACTCAAAATTTTGATAAATACTGACATACGTACTCTGGATAGATATATATGTACAAAGTACGTGCTCTCATCACCACCATTTCAACTACCTGTGCTTCACCAGTCAATCATTATTGCAGATGCAAGTTTCACAAACACTCATGAAGAGTTTAACCTTTCCTCCATTCACAATTAATATACTGTAGGTTACAACTTTTATTTATATACATATAAAGTATGAGTATGCTGCACCTTTCCTTAAATCAATTTTAAAGAGGTTACACCTTGACAGAACTAGTAGCTGTATATTTTATATTCATTATTCTTACTCTCAATATTCTCTTTATTTCTAATCACGTGGGATGGTGTAAGCATTGCCTCTTTCAATATCATAATATCACCTTTAGAGAACTTAATCTCTCATTCCTAATTACTGTACTTCCATGATATTAAAAAATAATTCACCTTTATATATTACCAAGCCAGAACACTAAAGAGTGGGAAAGGGATAAAGATAATGGCTCTACAGTAGTGTATTGTATAGATAAATAGGTCAGTAATTACAATAAAAAAAGGACTGTACAGTACAATACTAACCTTATCATGTTTTTTCAAAATCTTCCTAAACCCAGTAAAGTTAAGGTTCTGGTAGTTCTGGAGGAGGATGAGGCTGAGGTAAAACTCTGAGAAGGCAAGCTTGAGGTCCTGCATCTTTCTTGCTGGAACATTCAATTTTGGCAGGAATGTGAAGCCCTTGCGGTTACGAAGACCATCGCCATGTTGATCTTTTGAGGCTTGCAAGTCTGATTTAAGTGTGGTATATTTCCTTGTGGCCTCTGCCATTTTCTCTGTGGGAAATATATTAATCTGAAAATACTGTCAAGTGATCCACATTTTTATGTTTAATTGGAGGTTAAGAGTTTGTTCCTGGTACAGTCTCACCCAAAAGTTTGTTAACTCTCCCAGCCAGCTATTGCTGCACTGCCTGCTTCAGATGTTTGAAACTGTCTCAGTACCAACCAGTACATGAAACCGATATGAGTGAATCTAAAAGGTTTGAAGTAACAGACTCAAGTTCATACATCTGAAGCAGGCAGTGCAGCAATAGCTGGCTGGAAGAGTTAACGAACTTTTGGGTGAGATACAGGACTCCAAAATATTTGCAATGCGTGTAAAACACTGTAATCAAAGTACTAAAAAGCTTGAGGCAAACTTAGTGGTGCATAATATAAAATGGATTCTTGACAAATTTGATTACTGGGAATAAGCTTTAATAAATCAATTCTTTTGTTCCTAATTTATTGCAAAATGAAATTTAAAAAAAAGAGGGATGACTATGGTGGCACAATATGACGTACATGTGGTGATAGACGCTACCACCTGTATATACAGTAGCTGGATGAATGAAAAGTGATGAGTGTACTGTACTTTAAATTAAAAAATAATAATTATCAGTAGTATTATGGAAAGTGGAGTAAAAGTTATGAGGAGACAGGAAGAAAAATAATAAAAAGAATGTAGAAAAGTGTCCTGGAAATGCACAACCATACAGAGCAGCTGTATATACATAAACCTCAAGACAAATTTAAGCAGTAAACCCAAATACTGTACAATGAACAATGTTATCTGCTGTATGTTCCCAGCAGAATAAGTGCATTAGGTACTGACAAAATCAAACAAGCAGTAGTAACTGAATATTAATGAACATTAATTTAAAACCATCAATTTGACAGTCTGACATGTAAGGTGAACACCACGCTCCATGAGCATAAGTGAATATAATCTTACATAATTATAACATAAGAGACTATTTAAAAGAACAAAAAGCTATATACCTGAAAAGAAGGTATTGATTTTTGCGAGTTCTTTGTCACACACTCGAAAGAACTGCTCATCAAAACGGGCATAATATCGGGTGATGACCTCCGCCTCCGTAACCTCAGACGACGGGGCCTGCTCTACTGCAGCATACAACATGGCCTGTGATATAAATGACAATAGATATAGACAGAATACACTGCAGATGGCACCTGTTTCACACCTCTGACCCATAAACATATAAGGAAGATGTGTACAGTACAGTTTATCATACATTTTACAAACAACACCAAACTAACCAAAATCTAAACAAAAGGTAATTAATTTGCTGGTTTTTGCTGTAGTTACAAAAAATATACTGTATGCCATACCTCCCCTTCATATATTTTGTCAGCATTACTGTACAATCATTTATTCCTTATCTCAAGATCTAGGCTAGCATATACCTTTCCATCACCTTGACTTTAACAAAATTCCTAATTCATTACAGTATTTCAGACTTTTCTCCAAGGGAAATGTAAAACACATATATATGAACATTAGTCACAGTAATTTAATATATGTTCGAGGTCTATGTTACCTAAGTCATGAAAAATTTATTCTCATGGAATTTAGCACTTACATATCTACATACTGTATACAGTACATCAGTCCTTGCCATATAAAGCCTATCAGCAGCAGTTTTCTCAAATTAAAGTTAATGTCCCTTTACATTAGGTCTTTTAAATTATAAATGAGAAGTAGCAGAAACAGCCTACTGTCGAAAATTAACCTTCCTTGCTTTCTTTACAGCAAACTCTTCTATCAGTTCATAATAGCTCAAACTTGCTACCAGTTTCTTTTCGATGGAGAGCATTGCCAGTTCACTCAACCTCTTGAGACACAGTTGTCCTTCGATAGCTTTTTATCAATTTGAGTTTAGAAAAACTTCATTCCCTGAAGGACTCGAAGTGCATTTTTTGTTTCTTTTGGGAATGAGTTCTCAGAGTACAGTACCTGAAGCTCTGGAAACATCTCGGCTACGTCAATATCGTGAGAATTTACAACACTCAATGACTTGTCCAAAGCAGAGTTGTGCTCAGCTAGGCACTGCATAGTAGGGGGCAGTGAAATTTTGCTCAAAGCTGCACTCTTCAGGCATTGTTCCTTATACATATCTAAGACTCCATGCCAAATTTGAAGCTGATATGTCGAGGTTTAGTCTGCCGCATTTTCTACTGAAATTTTTAAATTTACCTACAGTACTAGCCAAACAGCCGCTGTGGCGGTGCAATGTTCTGTTCAGTGTTTATCAACTTTTTTTTCATATCCCTTATTTCATTTAAGTTGTCTTGTTGCAGATGAGTATGAAGATTGCAGGGGTTGACATGAAAGTGACGAAGATGTGGGACAGAGTGACGGCAAGAGAGAAGCATGATGCGGACAGAGTTAGGAGACAGCTTGAGCAAAAACATAGATATCTGGTAGCTGGAGATATTCCTTATGTTGAGGATAATTCAGATGATTCAAGAGATATTCCTCTCGTCAATACTGATGCTGATTTTGTACCTGATCCAAGGGCTCTGACAGACACCAGTTCACAGAACCGGACAAGACTCCCTACACTGGCTGCCGCTTATGACCGATACTTGATTAGTGATTATGCTGGAGCTGCCATTGCTACTGCCACCTTAACTGACTATGACATTATCACAAAGGATGACAAGAGTCAGGTTATTGGACCACATAAGCTGCGGGATGCGAGACAAAAATACCGATTTAAGAGGCAAGAAATTGAGATGGCTAGTTTAGATAATTTGACGTCACTCTATTTTGATGGTAAGAAGACCGCCACTCGTGTGATGATAAAGAATGAGAAGACCGAGAAATGGAGTTCAAGGATGATGGTGAAAGATCATTATGTCATCATGGTTGAGCCTGGCAATGAATATCTCACACATGTGACTCCCAAGACTGGACACGGAAAGCAGATTGCCAAAACTATTCACGAGTTTCTGGTGGTATGTGTGCAGATGAGGACATGACTGTTAGAGAAAAAGCTGTCTCAATGATAAGAAAAATTAGAGAGGAGAATCAGCAAAAAGAAGAATGCACTGGCAGATCTGAAGAGGAGGAGGAAGATTCTGATGCTGCTGTTGACGAGAATTTGTTAAACTATACTGATGAGGAGGGTAAAGATGGAGATGGGAATGAGGATGTGCCTCCTGTAGTCAACATGAGAAAGGTGGTGACTCCGAAACTAAAGTGGCAAGCAAAAAACTATCATTCCATGATTAACTGGAGGAATGAACTCAAGACTGAGCCTCCTTACATTGCTTCTCTGTCAAATCTACAGGTTAATGACATTCTTGAGACACCATTAGTGGTGCCCAAGTGGCCAAACAGCACTCAGGCGGTCGAGAGAGGCATAAAAGTGATGACTGAAGCTTGCACTGAAGTGACGGGATACGAATCGAGAGATGGATATATTAGGCAAAGATTATTGTCTAGGAAAATGATGCCAAGGTTCCGCACAAAAAAGAATTTCAATATGAACTTGTAATGATTTTCTATACGGTGTACCTGTAAAATAACATGTGAATTAAATCGATGTCACCCATGTAAAATTTATCATTATCCTGGAAAACATTAAATGACACCTAATTTTTGGTATACACTAAAAGTTGACAAAAAGTCGTTCGCGATGCGGCAGGGTAAGTATGCATGAAATGGCATGAAATTTTGCACAGGTGTTTGTTACAGCCATACAAACGATGCCTGAAAAGTGCAGCCTGCAACTCAAATAAAAGTGGTTTTTCCCTGCCCCCTACTGCACAGCTGCTATAATACATGTTAGAACCAATCGCCAATGTTCCTTTTCTCTATTCAATTCTTGTATCATGTGTGTATCTAAGGTGTTCATTGAAAACAATCTTCTTTTCACTTCAATCCATTGTCTTTCCTTAAAATGCTTACAATCAGTACACCCTTCTTTTACTAGTTCAGGGGTTCTCAACCAGGGGGGAATTCCCCCCAGGGGGGAATTCAGGTTTTCAGGGGGGGGGGGAATGTATATGTACTAATATGGAAAAAATAAGGATTTTCAGTATTATATGCATATTATTTGGAATGCACTTTTTGAGGCAGACAATCTTGGAAAGGAGGGGGGAAATGACATTCTGACATATGGTGAAAGGGGTGCATGGGGCAAACAAGGTTGAGAACCACTGTTAACTAGTTCATGTGTTGCATGAGGCCCAGAGCAGTCGCCCTGGCTCACCCTCCACTCGGGACGGCTCTGTTTATAACCATTACAGGTGATGTACTGTACACTTTGTTACAACACTTACCTTCATCTCCTCATAACTGATGTATTGTTTCCTCCACTCGGGAGTGATGTGTGCTGCCAGATGCTCTGCGAACTTCATTTTGTTGTGTTGCTATAATGTACTGGTAACCAAAATGACTAGATAATCACAGTCTGTAAAAAAAAAAAAAAAAGGAAAGATAATATAAGAAGTAACAAAGAAAACCTTGTGGCATATTTAGTAACATTTACAAATTATTGTTCATACAGGTAGAGTAAAAAGAAGAGAAGTTCTACTACTGTACATTCACTCTAGGAAGTCACAAACTATTTGCTAAAGTGTACTACTAACCGTCTCCTCCACCATTACCGTCTATAGAACAGTTTCAAAGATTTCACTTGCTGGCAAAAATGTCTGCACAACGACAGACCGGGGTCTGCCCATTCCGTCACCAACCCGTTTTGTCACCACTGTTTTCAACCCGTTTCGTCACCACTGCTTTACCCGTTTCGACACCGCATTCATTCCCATCAATATATACATGAAAATAACTGTTGCTTGGGATAAAAAATAAAAAAAAACACTTAAGACAATTTAATAAAGACAAAAATATAAAATAAAAATATCGTTAATATGTCTGCAATCATCTCACTTAAACAGTATGTGAAAGACTAAAATAAAAAAAAAATAAAACATTATTAATACTCATGCAAGCTTGGCAGAAGACACTGACATTTTTTAAGGAAATTAGAAGTGGTGATATTTTTTTCTTCATATTCATCCCACAGCTTCCAGAGATGGACTTGTTTGTCATGATTTGCTTTTCATGTGCATGATTTTAGCTTGTGCTCAGCAACTAGTTGTAATTGCAAATCAACCATGGAGGCTTCTCTGGGAAGAAGAGGGACAAGGAGTTACAGAGCGAGATTGTTCTTTGCTGCTCGGTGGTTTATGCGCTGGTGCCAAATCACCTTCATTTGTTCTGTATTTTGTTTATTTACCAATGTGTTAATCGTTTTCTTTATTAAATAATTAATATTCATGTATAATAATAACACAATACTTCTTGAGTCATCTGTATACAAGTGTAATTGCTATTCGTATAAAATAATAACTTACAATTTATCACTAATACTGTACCAGCGACTGTTAGGGGTGACGCAACAGATTTGTTATTGGTGATGAAATGGGGTGTATCCAACAGACCATATTTACTCTAAACAATATTGGGTCAATTTTCACTAATGCACCGGTCTTTGCTTGGATATTAAAAATATGTTTTTCCAATGTTATTCGATGAGTTTCGAATGAATTTGATATTCATTTCAGCCGGAAATCAATAGTTTTGAGATCCCCCCTTCACCCTACCCATCAATCTTAACGAAAATGAATTTTTTTCGAGTAAATCACATAAATAAAAAAACCAACAAAACAAAAACCTAACACTATTTTTCTTATGAAACTGCAATTGATGTAAAAAATGATCTCTATCACAATGTCGGCACAGCTCTTTCCACCTGTTCAGCCATATCTGGTTATTCTGATACTGAAAAATTAAATCTTCGCTCCCAACGCACCAACGCATAGTTCATTGGCTGAGACAAAAAAATCTTGTCCAATTATAGGTCTCCTATTGCTATAGCCAATAAGAAACTCCCACACCACCCCCCTGCACATGTGCTGTAGACGCTTAAGCAGCCAACACGGGGGTAAGGAACACTGCGTGATGGGTGGTCAGGCCTTCTCTGTGAGACATAAACAACAAATGGCGACACTTGTGACTGACCAAATCTAATAATATTGAAAAAAATATATCGGTTATCCATAACTTCCGGAGGGAATATCACAAAAGAAAAGGGGTCTTAGAATTGTCTAAACATTACGGAAAACATATTAAAAACAACAAGAGAAAGACCGGTGCATAATTGAAATTTTACACATTATTAATAAACACAGAAGTAGGAAAGTCAAATTCCTCCACCCTTTAGTGGCTATTCAAAGGGTAAGAAACAATTTTTTTCAATAAATTTTTTCTAAAGTAGCTCCTTGTAACAGGACAATATTGTAAATTATTACACACCGTCATGTACGACACACTTCACACAATACACTGTGGCTGATTAACACACGACATAGTTATGATGCTTACCTGTCAAGAATAACACTCCTAGCACCTTTAAAGTTCACTTAGCCATTGACAAGTTTCATACATCACAAATTGATTTTTGACGCAAGTTTATTAGTTTTTCTAAACGTGAGTTGCTCGCAGGTTACATCAACAAAAAATACGTAAAGCAATATTATGCAATTTTATGTTGAAATATTAAGAGACTTTTATCCGTGTATATACATAATACAGCGTATATGACACTCAGGGTATGTGTGCCAGCCTGTCAGTGGTGAGCCTCAGGAACAACAACAATGGTCGTGGTAAGGTCGCCGTGACACTCTTAATGTTACGTAAAGTCCACGAACTGGCAACTGTGCTGTTATTTTTTTATATAATTTTCATCATTTGTCACTTTAGTAGCCGGTCGGGCGGTCGGTCTTTTTTCTGTTACGCACAAATGTTCTCTGTTAAGACCTAAGTACAGAGGGAACCCGGAAGAAAACCTGCGATTAGAATGTCACTTGAGATTCTAAATAACACGCTTCTCGCATCCAACCTTGGGATCGCAATGTCTAATTTCATTGGAAACTGTATAATCTACGGTCTAAACCCAATTATTAATATTAATATTATTATTATTATTATAAATTGGTTGCCAAGTCTCGCTTGAAAAATGTTGTTGGGTCCAATTCGTGATATTTTATTAACATTGTCATTTGGCCAGGGGTTATTAATCAACATCTTCTCTCTTCGGTAGGAGTCGTTCCTTTAAGCCAGTGGTTCTCAACCTTGTTTGCCCCATGCACCCCTTTCACCATATGTCAGAATGTCATTCCCCCCCTCCTTTCCAAGATTGTCTGCCTCAAAAAGTGCATTCCAAATAATATGCATATAATACTGAAAATCCTTTATTTTTTCCATATTAGTACATATACATTCCCCCCCCTGAAAACCTGAATTCCCCCCTGGTTGAGAACCCCTGCTAAGCGGTAGTTTTAATTGCCCGAACCTCTTCCCTCCGTACCAGGACCGTCGAGGGTAGGGTTGGTGAGCCTGATACATTAAGGGTCGTCTCATCGTATGGTTGGTATGCTGGAGGTGTTGGCGCCAAACTCAAGACTACGATCGACCATGAACAAGAACTACGCCTCTTCCTCTCAAACAACAAGCCCTATAATTCCAGAGAAGGCGAGTTTTTAGTACCGTTAAGTGGCGAGGACAAATTATTATTGTTCAAAATAAAGACATGTGTTAAGGTAGTGCCATTAAAGAAGAAAACTTGGGTGCCGTAACATCCAAGTTCAATACCGAGGAATATGGACCTCAGTGATCTGAACTACCATACACAGATGGAAGATCTACATGGGAGCATCTTAAAGTAAGTTCAACAATTTGTTGTTAATTAGGTTACGTCGTGTAGTACTAATAGGTTAGGTCACAGTGTTTAATCATCGCCCTTATTACTAAACATGTTGGTGACCACGATAAGTTTACTTCACTTATGACTTTAACAAATAAATGAAACCTATCTGTTTTTTTATGCGTCTTTGAATGGAAAAAACAATAAAATCTTTAGATGCTATAGGAGAAAAAAATGAGTTATAAAGGAAAGTACAGTACTTTTAGTGACGTGTTTACTGTGCGTGCTTCATGCTCCGAGGTTGTTGATAGAATGTGTTCATGTGCTTCGACACGTAATATCCCTGAGCTGTTCAGTTTATACACTAGATAACAACATTTAAAAATTGGGAAGATACACTCTCACTCAGGACGAGCTAAACACCCCTCACTTATCTTCAATGACTATCCAGGTTTTATGTTTGTCCCTATGTTGAGGCTGAACCACGTCCCTGCTGACCACTTGTGCTATCTGGTCAACACACATCTCCAGTTTATCATCTCGCATCACCATAGACTGTTAATGAAAATGGAACCAGTGCTACCTGAGGACTCGGTAGAGGCAGTGGAGATACAGTATACCGTACGCTAAACCCTTTTTTCGGTACACAAGGAAGCAGTGTTATCGGTACTTCGCTTCACTCCTGGGTACCATGTCATCGGATTCACCTTACTCAAGAGATGGAAAGTGAGAGTGTGTCCATAGGCATGATTGCCCGTTAGGGACTGTGTGGATACAGCACACTGTATACTAAGACTTTGGTACAGAAAGTGGATTTTACACGAAAACAATATTTAGCGGTAACTGCCAAGAAGTCAGAATGTAACAGTCTACGTTTTTCCCTAAATTTGTGCTTTTATATTTTACAACAAATCACCAGATTATAATTTGAAGCGGTACGACGTGTTACCGTTCTGCCGGGCGTATGGCAACACTAGCCTGAACAGGACAAACACTAATACTGACAGATATATCATAACGACAAAAGCAATAAGGGAAAAAAATCATCAATAAGTAGTTTCTCCCAACGCTCTCAACAAACGCAAGAAGAAAATATAAGTTTAGACGAGGCCAACACAGGCAGCTCCGGCCAGGGGAACTTCCTTATCGTGTGTATTATCACTAAACCAGATCAGACCAAGTGATAAGGGTTAAAAGCCTCTAACACTACCCGCCACCAACCTATCTTCAGATTCTCACAAGTTTGACCGACGAAAGTTCCTAATAACCGAAGGCGATGGTCGTCAAGGGTAACGGGAAATTAGACCTCCCAACTTATTTCACGCGACTCTTAGACACCCTCATCTAACTTAACCTAACAATATGACCTAACCTAACCTAAACTAATATAACCTACCCAACCTAATCCAACAACACTACCTAATCTAACCTAACCTAGTATAACCTGTCCTAATCCTCATAATCTAACCTAACGTAACCTAATCCTCATATGATTCAGACATAAGAATTCACTTAGCTGGTTGACATGAACACCAGACAAAATGAGTTAAATCACCGGAAGAGTCGCCCCTCCCCTTGCTTATTTTACCTGATGATTAAAACGACTTAACGCTACCTAGGGTGGGAGGGGGTAGGTTAGGTTTGGTTAGGGAGGGTTAGATTAGGTTAGGCGGGGTTAGATTAGGTTAGGCGGGGTTAGGTGAGGTGAAGTAGGGTTAAGTGAGCGTTAGATTAACGTTGGGGTTATGTTAGATTAGGATTGGGTTACGCTAGGTTAGGTAGGGTTAAGTTAGCGTTAGATTAGTTCTGGAATTTAAGGGTTCAGTTGTGTGTTTTCGACCTGAGAGGGGACGGGGGTCGGTAACTGATAAGCACCAAACAGCAGGTTTGAGGCCACTCTATCTCACCAAGCACGAGTACAGTATTGCCTCACCTGCAGCCACTACTGTAAAGCAGGTCGAGGTACTTCAAGACTCACCCTAGTGTTGTACTGTACGAGCTGACACACTCCGCTTGTCATGATAACACCACCATCATGTGTGTACTCCACCATGATGTGTACACCCTACCATGATGTTATACTCTACCATGATGTGTACACTCCACCGTGATGTGTATACTCCACCATGATGTGTACACCCTACCATGATGTAATAATAATAAACGGTTTATTAATAGAGTTGCAGCCGGTGGCTGAAAATATACAGACTTACATTTGATTTAGACATATTGATATAATATGCATTGAATACATTTACAGGGTTGTACAGTACATAAATCAGGAGTTGTTTATTATTTTAACAACAGATGGGATGGTGCTGTTCTTATATCTATCGGTGCGGGCTCTTATGGGCTGAATTTTGTTGCAGTGGCGACTGCGCGAGTTGGGTGGGGGGCTGCAGGTGGCAGGAGGTGGCGATGACGAGGGTGGTGCAGTAGTCCACTGCCAAACCTTTCCAGTGTTTGGTGGTGGAGGTCACTGAGGGATGGCATTTCCAGGGTGGAGAGAGCGTTGGTGTAGCCGGAGTATTCTGCGCCGAGTATGATTCTGCAGGCCCTTTTCTGTACCTTCTCTAGCTGACGTTACACTCCACCATGATGTGTACACCCTACCATGATGTGTATACTCCACCATGATGTTACACTCCACCATGATGTGTACACTCCACCATGATGTGTACATCCTACCATGATGTGTACACTCCACCATGATGTTACACTCTACCATGATGTGTACAATCCACCATAATGTGTACATATTTCCAGAAATTTGCATGGTACATATTTCGTCGTCAGTCTGAACCCAATACGAACACAACGATAATAATATTTAACTCTCTTTATAAGTGGGGGAGATTCAGAATAAACAGCTGTCACGTGATGGCGGTCCATGTGATATAAGACTCGACTGCTGGGGTCTGGGTTGTGTGGCGGGGTCCGGGAGGTTGTGTGGCGGGGTCCGGGAGGTTGGATGGCGGAAAAGACAAGACAATAGTGTTGGGGTGAGGAAAGTTGAACAGTGATCCACCCACAGACCATGACCTGAGGTGACCTGTGTTCCGCCCACCCTGTCACCTCCCCCCCCCTCCCTCCTCTCTATTATGCTCGAGGCATATATGAAAATTAGACACCCTAGTTTATTTCACCTGAAGATTAACCCCCCTAATGTTAACCTAAACTAGCCTAACCTGATCCAACACTAACCTAATTTATGTTCTAACCTAATGCTAACCAAACCATACCTAATGTAACCTAACTTAACCTTGGGGCTAAATTGGTATGTCTCCCCTTCCTTTTCTCCCCCCCCCTCACCTTCACCTCTCAGTTTCCTCCCTCCCTGACCCACCTGCTAGCGGGAGGAGGAGGAGAAGCCTGGTTTTTTTTGTGATTTTTTAAGGTCCGGGAAATCCCCTCTGCAGCGTTGCCACCATTACCGCCCACCACCAGTCATGTTTTATACTGACAACGTTGCTTCAACAAATAGAAACACACTCTCATCACCACATCAACACCACCATCACAACACCATCTACACACTATCATCACAACATCAACACCATATACACACTATCATCACAACACTAACACCACCACTACCCCAAGCCGGATTCCCATACATTCCTAAGATAAACTTTCCCCTTAACTGGAGATCTTTGTCACAGGTCTCTCTCTGGCCCGTTCGTATAAACAATAGGTCAAATGGCGTCAAAATTATACGTAGACTGCACCGTTACATTTAATAAAAGATCCGTGAGCAGCAGTTCGATCAAGTAACGATACCTCTCTTTATCTCTCTCTCTCTCTCTAGCCCCGTCCGTATCACCACCCGGATGTAAAACAGCTGGATGTGGAGCAGTTGGGTGGAAGGG